AATGCCTTGACTTGAACCCGTCCAGAAACTTCTCCCTATCAGGTAATGAATACTAAGGCAATATAGAACTCAACTCTGTTAAGTTCTATAGAACTCTGATGATTCAAGAGTTTAGAAAAGGATAGTTTCTATACCCAGTTGAGGATGGTATAGGTATGTCTAGAAGGGAAAAAAGGTAAAGAAGTTCAGGGTTGATGACCTCTATGAATGAAGAGAATGAGGATTCTGGAAATGAGAAATGAGAAAATTTGTATTATTTTCATAATACGTCTTCAAAAAGAGTAACAACTGATTGCCTAACTAGCCTCCATTATCTCAATTACTGAGGTCTCACTAATATTCCATATTTTAGGCAAAAGTCTATAAAAATTATTTCCCCCATATTTTTATTTTAAATCTATAGAATGTTGAGAGAATAGTAAAAAATCACAAACTTGTATATCCTCTATGTAGATTAATCCCCCATTACTATTTTGCCTCAAATTGCTCAATCTCTTTCTTTTCACAAGATTTTTGTCGAACCACTTGAAAGAAAACTAGACATGACACTTCTCTAAATAATGCAGCATACAGCTTCTAAGAATAAAAATGTTTTCCTACATAACCACAGTAACACATGTAAAAAAGTAAAAAATTCATTAATATCATTTAATATACAATTCTTATCCAGTTTCCCCAATTGTTCTAAATAACATCTTCTTGAGAAAACACAGGTGATAAGCTCCTTGACATCGGTCTTGGCAATGATTTTTTTTGGGTCTGACTCCAAAAGCAAAGGTGACAAAATAAAACAACAACTACAACAACAAATAGGACTATATCAAACTAAAAAACCTGCACAGCAAAGGAAACCATTAACAGAATGAAAATGCAACCCACTGAATGGGAGAAGATATTTGCAAATGATATATCCAATACAGGGTTATTATCCAAAATATATAAAGAACTTATACAACTCAATAGCAGAAAAACAATCCAATTAAAAATGGGCAGAAGACATGAATAGATATTCTTTCAAAGAAGACACACAAATGAAAAGAAGCTCAGCATCAGTCATCATCAGGGAAATGAAAATCAAAGTCACAATGAGACATCACCTCCACCTGTCAGAATGCCTATTAGCCAAAAGGTAAGAAATAATAAGTGTTGGAGAGGACGTGGGAAAAAAAGGACCCTCATGCACTCTGGTGGGGCTATGGGGATATAAGTTGGTGCAGTCACTATGAAAAACAGTATGGAGGTTCCTCAAAAAATTAAAAAAAAGGACCACCAATGATCCAGCAATTCCAGTACCATGTGTTTATCTGAAGAAAATAAGAACACTAATTTGAAAAGATAAATATGCCCTATGTTAATCGTATCATTATTTACAATAGTCAAGATATGGCCCTAATCTTTAGTGTCCATTGCTGGATGAATGGATAAAGAAGAATTGGAACACAGAGAGGAGGTGGTGGGGGGATGGGCGAAATACGTGAGGGGAATTAAGAGTACACTTATCATGATGAGCACTGAGTAATGTATAGAAATTGTTGAATCACTATGTTATACACCTGAAACTAATACATCATTAATTATACTGGAATTAAATTTTTTTTAGAAAAAGATGATTTGATATACACACTACACACTACACACACACACACACACACACACACACACACACAATGGGATACTACTCACCCATAAAAAATGAAATCTTGCCATTTGTGACAACAAGGATGGAACTAGAGGGTATTATGCTATGTGAAATAAGTCAGACAAAGACAAATACCATATCTCACTTATATGTGGAATCTAAAAAACAAAACAAATGAACAAACAAAACAAAACAAAACTCATAAATACACAGAACAGCACAGTGCTTGCTAGAGGGGAGAAGACAAAATGGGTGAAGGGAGTCAAGAGATACAAACTTCAATTATAAAATAAATAAGTCACGGGGATGTAATGTACAGCATGGCAACTATAGTCAATAATACTGTAGTGTATATTTGAAAGTCGCCAAGAGAGTAAACACTGAAAGTTCTCATCACAAGAAAACGTTTTTTTGTAATTCTTTATGATTGTAACTAGACTTATTATAATGATCATTTCAGTGTATATATCGAATCATTATGTTGTATACCTAAAACTAACATAATGATATAGATCAATTATACCTCAATAAAAAATATGAAGAGAGGAAGGCAGGCAGTAAGAAAGGAAGGCAGGCAAGGAAAGAAAGGAGGAAAGAAAGCAAACGAGTGAGAGAAAGAACAAAAGAATGAAAGAAAGAAGGAAAGAAGAGAAGAAAAGACAAAAGAAAAGAGAAAAATATCTTCTTGGTTCTGATCCATATCCAAAATTAACATAATAGACTTAATTGTTATGATTCTTTTAATCTGAGACAATCCCCTTAACTTGGCTTTGAATTTGTTTCCCATGACTGACTTTTTTTTTAAAAGATTTTATTTATTTATTTGACAGACAGAGATCACAAATGGGCAGTGAGGCAGGCAGCGAAAGAGGGGGGAAGCAGGCTCCCTGCTGAGCAGAGAGCCCAATGCGGGGCTTGATCCCAGGACCCTGGGATCATGACCTAAGCCAAAGGCAGAGGCTTAACCCACTGAGCCACCCAGGCGGGGCTTGATCTCAGGACCCTGGGATCATGACCTGAGCCAAGGCAGAGGCTTAACCCACTAAGCCACCCAGGCGCCCCCCTATGACTGACTTTTTTAAAAAGTCTCACATGTTTAACAATGTGTTACACATAGAATGTCTGATTATTTTCTTGTGATTTTATTCAGTTAAACTTTTTTTTATAAGAATACTACATTATCTTTCAAAATGTCGCACCTGTACAATGTCTGATTTTTTTTATGATTAGATTCAGATAAACCAGTTTTGATAAGAAAATAACATATATGATATTATTTATTTCTTATCATGTCAGATCAAGAGGCACATCGAGTTATTCCACTGTTAGTGACGTTAAACTTTATCATCTGGTTAAAGTGGTACTTGTCAGATATTTCTGTTGTAAAGGTGTTCCTCAACAATCTTAAACTCAGTAGTATTAGCATTCACTAATGACCCTTGCTTGAATCATCATGATGCTGGGGAGGCAAAGTAGTGACTTTCTCACTAAACTATACAATTAGAATGGGTGAAATTTACGGTATGTAAATTATACTTCAACAAAACTGCTTTTATAAATTAACTCAGTAACATGCAATTTGTACTTGGTCCATTCCTTCGGGCATATTTTTTCTGCCAAGAAATGACTGACAGCTGAAACATTTTATAAATGAGGCAAGGTATTCAATATCAGGGTAGGCTTAATAAAAATGCTCTGTTAAAAATTTTTTAATTGCAGTTCTCTAATTCCATCATTCTCTCTACAATTATTAGCTGGCACACTTCTATAAAGGCTTTTCCCTGCACATCCCATTTCTCTCTCTCTCCCTCCCCTCCAAACCCCCATCACTGCAGATTCATGGATATCTCCCCTCAGGGTATTATAATAATCCATTACTGATATTCTTTTTGATGTTCAAACTATCCTAATTTGGCCAACAGAAGCCCATTCAAGCACAATGGGCTTGTCCTGATATAACCCCATTAGTTTTGAACAATCTATTTGCTTGCATAAAAAGTTCCCAGGGTACCTGGGTGGATCAGTCAGTTAAGCATCTGACTCTTTTGATTTCCACTCAGGTCATGATCTCAGGGTCACGAGATCAAGCCCCAAGTCAGGCTCTGTGCTCAGCAAGGAGCCTGCTTAAAATTCTCTCTCCCTCTCTCTTACTCTGTCCCCTCCCCACCGTGTTTGCTCTCTCTCTCTCTCTCTGTCTCTCTCTGAAAAAAATAAAAATAAAAAATAAAAAATTTCCAAACTCACCCTGTACATTCCCTGCCTGAAACTTGAGATTAGATATTTCCCCAAGAAGCCTTGGTTACTTTTAATAGAAATGGTATTTAAAAACCAAGATTTAGGTGCTTGATGTGCTGTTCATTGCTAGTGGGGTGTCATTGCTTCTTGGCCCTTTGTATAAACAGAACAAGGGAACAGGAAGTCATACTAATATTTGCATCAAATTTATGATACAAACATAAAAGAAGGAACAGAATAATATCTTCTATTTTATCTTGTCTTCCATTACCATCACTATCCTTATGCTTCTGTTTTACCCTACAATATATAGGATGGCAATAATATTGTTATATTAGAATATATAGAAACATAATATAGTATAATTCTGAAACTAACAATAACTTTTTAAGTAAGTTTAAGATTTCTTTGCAGTTCTTTCTGTCCTTAAGATTATATGCTAGTAAGAATGTACTATCAAGAACACCATGTTCAAAAGTTATCTGAGCTGCATGATTATGTTACAGCTTTATAGGTTTGTCTGGTTTCAATTTGTATGTATTCAATTTAGCATTTGTCTTCCTTCCCAGTTTTTTTGGCTTAATTCTAGTTTTTCAGTATTTAAACTTTTATGTGGGCCAGAAAGTCAAAACTATACTAAGATATAAACATAGGGAAGTCCTGCTTCTGTCCCTATCTCCTCCACCTCATTCCTATACAGCCCCTATTTTCATTAGTTTCTAGTTTATTCTTACCATGTTCCATTTTATAAAAACAAACAATTATAGTTCTTCAGAATTAATGTATACATACTGTAAGTTAAGTAATACCCCTATAACCAAGCTCTCATTTGAGCATGGTCACGGGGCACAAAACCTGACTTACGTCACATCTTCTTTTTTTTTTTTTTTAAGATTTTGTTTATTTATTTGACACAGAGAGAGATCACAAGTAGGTTGAGAGGCAGGCAGAGAGAGAGGGAGAAGCGGGCTCTCCACTGAGCAGAGAGCCCGATGCAGGGCTCAATCCCTGAGATCATGACCGGAGCCGAATGCAGAGGCCTAACCCACTGAGCCACGCAGGCGCCCCTTGCATCACATTTTCTAACTGCAGTAACAGATAGCTTCACATACAAATAAACTCCCACCTGAATTCTGATTAATCCACTGTAGAGAGTTCATATGAGCATTCAGGATCTTGCAGATCTGCTGGAGCTAAACACACATACAAAATTTTTAGATTATGATAATTCTGATATGATAAACAAAACAAACATAAAAAATTGAAATTAGGAAGTGACTTTTCATTTCTTTTGGTAAGAAATGGACTGAGGATATAGAAAATATTAATGGCTTTTTCTGCTATTTCATATTCGTAATGTTCATTACATCTTTATATTACTTCAATCTATTTTGAAACTGTTAAGAATTTGATTCCTATAATTCAATAAGACACTGACTACCACAGAATAAAAATAACTAAAAACAAATATTAAAAGACATTTCACAAGACAAGAAATTCATATAAAATTTAAAACATTACTTTTTCAACCAAATCAGCAAATTTTGTTGAGGTATGATTAACAAATAACATTCTATTAGTTTCAGGCATTTAACACAATGGTTTGCTATTTGTACATATTGCAAAATGATCACCACGATATGTCTTGTTAACAACATCCATCACCGTATGTAGTTAAAAACATTTTTTTTCTTGTGATAATAACATTTAAAGATCTAATCGCTTGGCAATTTTCAAATATGCAATACAGTATTGTTAACAGTAGTCATCATGTTGTACATTACATCCCCATACCTTATTTTATACCTGGAAATTTGTTCCTTTTGACCACCTGCACCCATTTCACCCACCACCCAACCCCTGCCTCAGGCAACCACCAATCTGTTCTCTGTATTTACAAGCTTGTATTTTTGGTGCTGGCGTTTTTAAATTCCACACATAAGTGAGATCATACGGTATTTGTCTTTCTCTGTCTCACTTATTTCACTTAGCAAAATGCCCTCAAGTTCCAACCATATTCTTGCAAATAGCAAGATTTCCAAGTCAGCAATTTTTAATAAATGGTAATACTCAGTTGTCAACTGTGTGGAGAAAATAGGTGGATGCCTATACAGCCTATAGTAATAAAAATTGACCCAGCCCTTCAAAATGTAAATTTTTACAATATATATCAACAGTCTCAAAATATTCATACTTTTTTTTTAAAGATTTTATTATTTATTTGACAGAGAGAGAGATCACAAGTAGGCAGAAAGGCAGGCAGAGAGAGAGAGGGGGAAGCAGACTCCCCACCAAGCGGAGAGCCGGATGTGGGGCTCGATCCCAGGACCCTGGGATCATGACCCGAGCCGAAGGCAGAGGATTTAACCCACTGAGCCACCCAGGCGCCCCAAAATATTCATACCTTTTAACTCAATATATTCTATTTCTAGGTATCTATTCAGAGGAAATAATCAAATCTAAACATAAGTGGTCATAGAGATCAACTGTATAATGGCGAAGTACTGGAAACGATCTTTCCACCAATTTAAAAAAGTAATTCAATATATTATGGTAAAGTCACCTCTAATGAAATATTACAGAGTCATTAATATTTTCAAAGATTTCCAAAGTTTTCAAAGAATGCTTAAAATTTTAGGAAAACGTGAAAGAATATGAAATGAAAACAGAATACAAAACTGTATATATGTATGCTTCCAATGCTATTTAAAACAAAAGGAGAATTTTTACCAGCATAGCAAAAAGACTTGGAAAAAATATACTAATATATTAGCAGGGTACTGGTAATAGAGATGATTTAATTTTCTTCACAGATTTCTATATTTCTCAAGCATAATACATTGAGTAAGTATATGTAATAACTTTGTAATGAGACACACTAGACATTCAAAATTTTTTAAAATAAAAGTAGGAGGAAATGAAAATGTTACTACACTTAAAAGAACAGTATGTAATGAAAACAGAAATTTAATGCATTTTAACATAACAAATAGAAATACAACTTGTAGTAGGAACAATGAGTTTTTGTAAGAAAATGTAACTGAAGACCATATACCATAATATAGATCTGCTTAATAAAAATTTTAGGTGTCAGGTGGTCTCTCCCATCTCCTCTGTACCTCCTCCCCTCTACCCCCTCCCCCATACCCTCTCCCTCCACCCCCGCCCCACATACAAACAGTAAAAATAAACAGGTAAATCCCATCATTGTGAATACTATTAAACACTGTGGCTATTTTTCTACCCTGGTGTATGGCCTATAGTAAGGAAGCTTTGTTGATCTGGTTACAATAAATTATCTTCCAGAATATTATTGTTCAGCAAATATTTTCTCTGCTTCTCACCCAATCATTTATGCTATCTGAGAAAAGAGATGAATTGTTGCTGATCTCTTGCTTCTTTTGTCCTGCTATGGAGCAGCAATTATCTTTAATTCACTCATCTTAAACATCTCAATCACCCTTGTGACAGAAAAACAAAAACAAAAGACTCACACCATTTACTCCCCACTACCAAAATAAAATAAAACAATCCAAGGCTAAGTAGAGAAAAAGGAGAAGGATAGGATTATGTCCCTTTTCACTTACTCTGTTCAGAAACTTATTTTATTTCAACACAGAGAGACCAGACATCACCTCTGCCTCATGCCTAAATCTGCATGTATTTATTTACACATAAAAATTGTTTTATAGGGGTGCCTGGGTGGCTCAGTGGGTTAAGCCTCTGCCTTCGGCTCAGGTCATGATCTCAGGGTCCTGGGATCGAGCCCCGCATCGGGCTCTCTGCTCAGCAGTGAGCCTGCTTCCTCCTCTCTCTGCCTGCCTCTCTGCCTACTTGTGATCTCTCTCTGTCAAATAAATAAATAAAATCTTAAAAAAAATGTTTTATAAAGTAACTGTGGACTTTATAATCACAATGGTGAGCTAATATTTCATAAAAAGAAAACTTCTAATCTGTCAACTCTTTGATCATCTATATGAACACAAGAAGATGGTAGCATGGATAATCCCAGACTAATTTATATTTATCTTTGTTCAATTTTAGATTCACCCAAAGTAGAGAATGGCATAATTTTTATAGGTAGAGGGGACTTCAAGATCATTTAAGTCGACCCTTGACATTTTGCAAAAGAAGGAGCTAAGATTCAGAGAGATTAAGTGACTTAAATAAAATTCTAATGCTTTTTCAACTATACCATGCTGTCTCTTTATAATTAAAAAAGCTAGTAATGTGTAAATAGATAAAGAACCGTCTGTATGACTGGACAAAGAGCTTACTGAAGAATAATCACAATATATATCCATTGTCCTCACCAACCCAGATCTTGGTCCCATTCCGAATTATACTCAACAGACAGAATGTACAATGGCAGTTCCTACAATGGGAAGAATCTTCTTACCACCACTCCCATGGAGTGAGAGAGGGGAAAAGAAGAACTCCCATTTAGTTGCTAAGACAACTTGGAAAGGTAGAGGAAATAAGCTCTTTAATTAGGCCATAGATAAAGGGGAAAAGTACCAAACCTTTCTTATGGCCAAAGTAATTCAAAACATCTCAGCTCTAACTGGAGCCTCAGCTTTATTTTCCCATGCTAAAATAAACTTACATTATGAGGTAGGTAGATCCTATGAGGCAGGTGGAAACCTAATAACCACATCTAACAAAGTCTCTATGAAAAAATGTATTTTAAGACTCAAGTAGTTGACTTATCAAACATTTAAGACATAACTCAGTCATAAGTTCAGGCCTGCCTGGATATACCTAATAAACCCAAACACATATACTCACAATTATATGAATACACAGAAAAATATGTAAAAGGAGGAATGAATTAACCAATGAGTAAGGGAACAGAAAAATAAATACAGGGACATATTTAGCTTCGTGAAGAACAGGGAGAAACCCCTGAAAATTTAGGGAGGAAAGTCCTTTTTTTTACCCTCCTGGAAATAATCACAAAAATTCATAACCTTAGGGTGCCTACGTGGCTCAGTTGTTGGGCATCTGCCCTGGGCTCAGGTTATGATCCCTGGGTCCTGGGATCAAGCCCCTCATGGTGCTTCCTGCTCAGCAGGAAGCCTGCTTCTCCCTCTCCCAACTCACCCTGCTTGTGTTCCCTTTCTTGCTATCTCTCTCCCTGTCAATTAAATAAATAAATAAAACCTTAAAAAAAAATCTCATAACCTATTCTGCTCCTAAATATTTCTTGCCGCACTTAACTATACCCCAAGTTCATATCTATAGAAGCAGGTAAGGAGCACAGGAGGACAGGAGAAGATGACCAGCTAAAGGAACTCACAGAATGCTAATTTCATACTAAATCTTGGTTGTCTAAATAGATAAAGTAGTTCACACACCGGGTCAGTAGTGTCAGCAGGACTTCCAACTCTATTCAGGTGCTCAACAATGTCCTTGAGATCTTGGGCCATTCGTTTCAGCTGAGCATCTATATTTTCTGCTAATTTGTAACTGAAAAAGCAGGTAAAATAAAGAGATTAACAAGAAATGCTTTCTCCATTATGTCTTGTTACTGACATACAAAGATGATACTGCCAGCTGGATTTGCACCAATTCCCCCTGCCTTCTAAGTAGGTCTCAGTTATGACAAATGGCACACTTTTATGTAGGCAGCATTCATGACCTTATTATTACCATATTCTAAAAAGACTCCATAGGTGAAGGCTTTTAACCAACTCAGCATTTTTATAGTCACCTATTTACCTTCTGGATAATGTTCCAGGGACCTCCCAAGCAACAAAGCTCTTTTTAGCTCTTAAAATGAACTCGTAAGACATTTAGATACATAGTAAGTTATTTGGTGTTTAGGTGTATTCAATAAGTGCTGAGATGTCTTCAATGATTTTAAATAAATTTTCAAAGTAAAACCTTACAATAAATATACTCCATCATCCAACAAAAGATATTTTGAGAAATGAGATTAACAATAATCAAAGGTAGATAAATCTTCTAAGTACACAGCAAATATTAGTTGGCTAAATTCCAAACTAGATTTCCACGCAAAATATTTACACACATACATACACACTTAACCTAGTCAATAAAATCTTTATGAATTAAAGTGATCAGAGTTTTTCAACTTTAATATCTATAAAGATTAAAGGATTCAATGAGATTTATTGTTAACTATTTATTGCCTTTCTGTCCCAGAGTATTTAAAGGTAATTGGTTTCCTTGATTGCTGAATATCCTACTAAAGATTCCATCACAATATAAATCTGACTATATAAAAATAATTGAAAAGAACTACGTTTCTATTATTCCTTCAAATTACAGTTAAGTACTCATGTCCAAGAATGTAACTCTCTAGGCTTCAAAAAATGATAGAATGCATAGAAACCAATGCAGAGAAAAAAAAAAGATTCACAAAGGCTGAAATACAAAAGCAGAAACAGAACTAGGGTCCAGGATAAAGGAGGTGTGGTATACATATACAATGGAATACTATGCAGCCATCAAAAGAAATGAAATCTTGCCATTTGCAATGATGTGGATGGAACTAGAGGGTATTATGCTGAGCAAAATAAGTCAATCAGAGAAAGAAAATTATATGATCTCCCTGATATGAGGAATTTGAGAGGCAAAGTGGGGGGCTTGGGGGACAGGGAAGGAAAAAAATGCAACAAGATGAGATCAGGAGGGAGACAAACCATAAGAGACTCTTAATCTCACAAAACAAACTGAGGGTTGCCGGGGGGAGAGCAGGGTAGGGAGAGAGGAGAGAGTGGTGGGGTCATGGACATTGGGGAGGGTATGTGCTATGGTGAGTGCTATGAAGTGTGTAAACCTGACAATTCACAGACCTGTACCTCTGGGGCTACTAATACATTATATGTTAATTTAAAAAAAAAGAACTAGGGCCCATACCGATTAGCTGTATTTGCCATATTTCATGCACCTACAAAAAAGTTAATTTGCAAGCTTTTAGAAAATAAGCTCAGTTTTAACTCACTAATAGTCCATTACCAAAGGGAGTCTCATTTGGTCTCAGTCTGGTTTATGTAGCACATTTAGACAACACTTCATTATTTGGCCTGATTACCAAATTTCAGTTCCAGAGAGATGAAGTTACTGTGAGGACACTTGCTTGGTAATATTATAAACAAAAAGACTGAATCACATATGCACGCACACACACACACACAGATTCAGTCCAAGATACTGACAAAATCATTCAATTTTTGAAAGCTATGCAGTCTGCCCCCAGATTAACAAATTGCCTTTAAAATAGCCAGTGATTTATCACTGAAGCAATTGCATGAACATTAGGTTTAAAAGAGTCAATATAAACAGGACACCATAAATATCCCATGGTACTATGATACCACACACATAAAACTTGTATTTCTAATTTAAGAACAAACTTGACAAATATAAAAACTTTCCAGTGGTCATGTATAAGCTTGAGATTAGTAAGTATAAAAAATGCTATAAAACAAAACTGCCAGAATGATTACTTCATTTTCAGGCATCCCGAAAAGATAAATGGAAAACAGCCAAGTAGGTTGATAAATGGCAATTATAAGAACTTGTCCTTTTCTACCAATTTTTATTCCCTGCCCTTCAATTCTATTTTTTCCTTTTTTTAAGTAGCTAAGTCTTGCCCCATTCCCTGATCTTTATTCAGTTACTTACGTCTTCCCATGATCCTCATCTGCTAGCTGCAGATAAGGAGCCCCACTGTGGTCCTTCACAAACTCCTCTAAAGGGGTCAAGAGATCTTCCAGTTCCTTCTGCTGTGACAGGATAAAATCCAATTCTTGTTCCAGCCTGAAAAAACAAGTCAGCGGAAGGGCTGATGAAAGGAACTTGGAGTGTCATAATAAATGTCAAAAACTACAACAAGGAAAAAAGAATGGACAAAGAAACAGATATTTAATCTTTCAACCTAGGGAGTCTAAGGTTCTACCTCTGCTGATCCAGTTTCACTTTTTCCACTTCTCCATGTAAAGTAGTAATCTATAAAGGAACACAAGAATATGATAATGTAAATATTTGAATTTATGTTATAATTTTAAGGCAATACTAATTTTCTCATATACACTTCAAATATAAACAATTTCCTAATTCAGGACACTCATTACATAAGGAAAATATTTTTCAGTTGATCACCAATATTGAGATAGAAAATTAACCACAAAACAGGTCTGTGCTCTTATACAATGCAGGCAGACTACTGAGACTTTGAAAATACTTGTACAATACAGGTAGATTAATGAGACTATCTTCTTACCTTCTCACCATTCTCAATCAAGGTACGATCCCAAGCATTGACCTGAGTGGCCTGGTGAAGAAAGTACTTCTCTTGATCCTCTAAATCAAGGTTCCATTTGTTTATCAGACCATCCAGCTGACCGTAAGTCATCACGGGAGTTACAATTGAACTAAAAAAGGATACAGTAAGACCATATGATCACATTTTTAAAAGTATAACCATATTTTTTAAATGAATAACACCAGAGGACTTAGAGAAGAAATTATCACGTGAATTTTCCAGACCTGCTTCCCAACAGAACCAGCATAGGTAGTCAAGATTATTTTTAAAACAACCATTTTAAAATCTTTGGAAATTATCCTAAAGGAATACAGCAAATTAAAAAAATCTATTAAGAAATCTACCAAATTTCAGTAAGAACAGCTAAATTCTGTGCCACACCTGCTCCCTTCCCTTGCCCTCAGCTCAGCATGATGCAAGTTTCATCCTGGGTGCATGAGGCCAGAGATAGGACTCCCTCTCCCCATAGCTCTTAGTGAAAATTATCTATTCCAAATCTAAGTAGCATCCACAAAACAAAGTAGGCAGCTGATCGTCCATCCTCCACTGGGCAGAACCAAGCAGAACTCTGATTCCCCTGCCAGGTGGTATCAAATAAACTAAGCAGGTAGCTGAAATTCTAGCCTGTGACTGGCAGAACCAGGCAATGCTCTGATTCCTTTCCTGGGGCAGTGTCAGCAGGGCTAAGCAGAGAGGTAATCATCAATTCTCTGCTCAGGAGAGGCAGGTAGTGTTCTATTTCCTCTACCAGGGTTCTGTCAGCAAAGGCCAGTGACAAGCTGAATCTAAATACCCACCCAATGGCAACAAGACTTAATAAGGGAAAGGATTAGTTACCATTAGGCTTCACCACTTGTCTCCAGTGCCAGTGGGACCCAATGGGGAGCTTAACCACTATACCCACCTGGCATCACTGAGACAGAACAAAGCAATGCAAGCTGGAGCTAGTAAGGACTCTACTTCCCACCACCCCTGGTGTCAACAAGGCTCAGTGAGGAGCTTAACCTCCACACCTACTGGAGAAATCAACCTGAATGAGGCAGGGCAAAGCAGGGCTAGTCAGTACCCCAACCTCCTTCTCCCCAGAGCCTGTGTCCGTGAGGCCTAGTGGGGAGCTAAGCTTCCATACCAAACCAGCATCAAGAGGCTGAATGAAGTGATAAGATGCAGAATAGTTGATATCCTGCTTCCTCACTCCTTTTCCACCAGTGGTGCCCAAAAGGAAGTTGAAATTCTGCCTCTGCTCTGCAGCAACTAAGCAGTATGAGTTAGTCCCCCACTTCCTCTTGTTCGGGGGTCCCAGGGACCCAGCTGAGGGCTGAGCTTACATCCCCACTTGAGGCAATGAAGTGGTGTGACCCGCTGCCCCACTTTCATGGGGAATGAGTCAGTCGGGCTGAGGAGGTAGCTGAACTTTCATACCACTCATCTACATTGAGGCAGTATGAGTCAGTACTCCACTTGTCCTGGGGTGGTATGGGCAGGGTCTAGTAGGAAGCTGAAGATGCAAACACACCCAACCCTTGTACTATACCCCAATGAAAGGATTACTTGATTTGAAAAAATTAGAATTGGACCCAGACTCCCTTAACATAATAGACATAAATGTCTAGGATACAACTTAAAATTATCCGTCTTATCAAGAACCAGGAAAATCACAACTCAAAAGAGAAAAGATAAGCCAAAGGCACTGACACTGAGAGGTATCAGATACTGGAATTCTCTAAAAGAATTTCAAAGCAACCATCAAAAAAATGTTCCAACAAGCAATTAGGAATTTTCTAGAAACAAATGAAAACTAGAAAATGTCAGCAAAGAAACTCCAGTTATGAAAAACAATCAAATGGAAATTATATTATAATTATATTATAGAACTGGAAACTAAAAAGCTCACTTAGAGGGTCTGATACAAGAGTGAAAATGACAAAGGACAGAATCAGTGAACTTGAGAGTATATCAATAAAATTTACAGAACAGCAAAGAGAAAAAAGACACAAAAATGAAAAAAAAATCAAAAGAACTTAGAGGACAATAACAGAAGAGATAACATTTGTACCATTGGAGGATGACAGATTAGGAGGAAAAGAGAAAATGGGATTGAAGAAGTATTCTGAAAAATAAAGGTGATAACTTCCCAAATTTGGCAAATGACATAAACCTACAAATTCAAGATGCTGGGCAAACCCCAAACAGAATAACTCAAAGAAATCTGCACTAAGACACATAATACTTAAATTTCTGGAAACTGAGGATAAAGAAAGAAAAAAAAAATCTTGAAGGTAGCCAGAGAGAAACAACACATTACTTAAAAGGTACTACCAATTCGAATGACAGCAGATTTCTCATCTTAAACCATGGAAGCTAAAAGGAAGTGTCACAACAGTTTTCAAGTACTGAAAGAAAAAAAAACTGTTGACCACAACTTCTCTATCTGGTGAAAATGTCCTTCAGAAGTGAAAGGAAAATATATTCCCTTGCAAGATTTTTGTTGTTGGCAAATGTACCCTTGAAAATTGGCTAATCAGAAAATAAAAATGAAAACAGAAGAAGGCTTGGAACTTCTTAAAGGAAAGAAGTCAAAATGAGCAAAAAGGGTAAGTATAATAGACTATCCAACTTCTCATGAATATTTAAGTCATATTTGATGGCTAAAGCAAAAAGTATAACAGCACATAACGTGGTGTTCAATGTACACAGAGTAAATACTGGAGACAATTAAAAGGTAAGAAGAGTTAAGGGTGCTAAATGGAATTACCAAAGTGGTAAAATGTCAACATGAACAGACTATTAGAAGTCACATATGTATACTGTAATACCTAGAGCAACTAGTAAGAAAGTTATATAAAGCAATATGCTCAGAAACACTATAAAAATAGAACAAAATGGAACCCTAAAAAATGTTTGAGTATCCCACAGGGAAATTAAAAAAAACAAAAGAAAAACAAAAACAGAAGTAACAAACAAAAGACAAATAATAAAATGGCAGATTTGAGCCCTCACATATCAATAATTAGCTTACATGTAAATGTGCCAAATATATCAACTAAAAGGCAGAAACTGGATAAAAATTATGATCCATCCATATGCTATCTACAAAAAACTCACTTCAAATACAAAGACACAAATGGGTTGAAAGTAAAGTGATAGAAAAAGACATACAAGTAAGATTAATTTTTTTAAAAGATTTTATTTAATTATTTGTCAGAAAGAGAGAGGGAGAGAGAGCAAGCACAGGCAGACAGAATGGCAGGCAGAGGCAGAGGGTGAAGCAGGCTCCCTGATGAGCAAGGAGCCCGATGTGGGACTCAATCCCAGGATGCTGGGATCATGACCTGAGCCGAAGGCAGCTGCTTAACCAACTGAGCCACCCAGGCGTCCCAAGATTAATTTTTTAAAAGAGATGGCTATATTAATACCAGATAAAGTAAATTTTAGAGCAAAGAAAATTACCAAAGAGGGACACTGGATAATGATAAAGGAATCAAATCACCAGGAAAGGCCAACAATCCTAAACATGTAGGCAACCAAACAGCAAAACCTCAAAATACAAAAAGCAAAACTGTTAGAGCTAAAAGGAGAAACAGAGCATTCCACAATTCTAGTTGGGGACTTCAAATTGCCACTCTCCACAACCGAAAGAAACAATAGAGAGAAAAGCTGCAAGGATACAGATCTGAAAATACAATGAAGTAGGAACTCATCATCATATATAGAACACTCCACCCAATACAGAAAACACAACTTTCAGGGGCCTGTGGAACAGCCACCAAGAAAGACTCTTATCTTCATCATAAAATGAACCTGCAGAAATACAAACAGACTCAAGTCATACAGAGCATGTTCTCCAACTATAAAAGAATCAAACTAGAAATCAATATTGAAAGAAAACAAGAAAATCTCCAAGTACTTGGGAATTAAACAACATGCTTCTAAATAATCTATGGGTCAAAGAGGAATTCACAAAGTAATTTGAAAAGTAGAACTGAATGAAAAAGAAAATAAAACATAATAGAACATGTGGTACACAGGGGCACTGAGGTGGCTCAGCTGGTTAAGCATCTGACTTCAGCTCAGGTCATGATTTCAGGGTCCAGGGATCAAAACCCTTGTCTCTCTCCCTCTGCCCCTCCCCCCACTCACGTGCACTCCCGCTTGCTCCCTCGCTCTCTCTCAAATAAATAAAATCTTTTTTTTTAAAAAGTATATGTGGTACAGAGCTAATGCAATGGTGAGGATATTTATAGCATTGAACATTCACATTAGGAAAAGGGAAAAGTCTCAAACCAGTAATCTAAGTTCATGCCTCAAGAAACTAGGAAAAGAGCAATATGAAGCCAACACAATCAGAAGGAAAGAAATAATAAATAGTAGATATCAATGCAATTGAAAATGAAAGCAATAGAGAATAATCAGTGAAATAAAAGCTACTTCTTTGGGAAAGGATGAATAAAATTGATAAAAGAAAGGTACAGAACACCAACAGAAGAAATGAAACAGCTATTAAAAGCACAAAAAGCAAATACCACCAACAACTTTATAGTCATAAATTCAACAACTTAGAAAACTAAACCAATTCCTTGAATACCACACACTAGTAAAATTTACCAAAGATGAAACAGATAAACTGAATAGTCCTAGAACCATTAAAGAAATTGATTTGTAACTTAAAACCTCCCAAAAAAGAAATATCCAGGCCTAGAGGTTTCACTGGAGAATTCTGCATACATTTAACAAATACAATTTTTATACAATTTTATATAATTCCTTCTATAAAACAGAAGAGGATACTTCCCAGATCATTTTATAAGGCTAGAATTATCCACATACCAAAAGCAAAGACAGAATAAAAAATGAAAGAAAACAAAGCTATGGGCTAATATCTCTCATGAACTTAAATAAAAAAGTAGTAAGCAAAATACTATCGAACTAATCCAAAAATGTATTAAAAAAATTGTATGCATGACCAAGTCAAATTTATCCTACGTATGTAAGGCTGGCTCAACATTTGAAAATCAATCAGTGTAATTCACCATATCATTAAGCTAAAGAGGAAAAATCCTAAAATATTGTATCAACTGAGACAGAATAAACATTTGACACAAATATGTCCAACTGATTTTTGACAAAGGTATACAAGTAATTCAATGGAAGAAGTTGAAGACTGTCTTTCAACAAATGATGCTAGAAAAACTGGACACCCCAAACCAAAAAAAAAAATGAAACTTACTCTAAAACTCATACTTCATACAAAAATTAACTGCAAAATATAAAACTGTAAAATTTTTAGAAAAAAAATAAGAGAATCTTTGGTATCTAGAGTTAGAGAAAGAGCTCCTAAACTTGACATTAAAACATGGTCAATTAAAGGAAAAGCTGATAAACTAGACCTCATCAATTAAAAGTTTTTGTTTGGCAAAGTACCCTGTTAAAAAGACAAAAAGACAAGTTACAAATTTAGGGAAAATATTTATAAACCACATATCTGACAAGACTGAACCTAGTATATATAACTCTCAATACTTGAAATTAAAAAAAGAAATTCAAGTAGAAAACAGACAAAAGACACGACATGAACAGACATGTCACCAAAGAGGATACGCTGGTGGCAGATAAACACATGAAAAGATATCCAACATCATTCATCATCAGGGAAATGCAAATTAAAATCACAATGAGATAACATTTCACATATATTTGAAGGGCTAAAATGAAAATAGTGACAACACCAGATCCTGGTAAGACTGTGGACAAGCTGGATCCCTCATACATTGCTGTCAAGTGTGTAAAATGGCATAGTCACTCTGGAAAAGAATTTGGCATTATCTTAAAAAAAAATAAACATGCAACAACCATACCACCCAGTAACTGCACTCTGGGCATTTATCCCAGAGAAATGAGACTTACACTCATTTAAAAAAAAAAAAAACCTGAACACAAATGTTCTCAGCAGCTTTATTCATAACAGCCAGAAACTGGAAACAACCTAGAAGTCCATCAACAAGCCCATCAACAAGTTGACTATGTAATACATCTACAATACCATGGACTACTACTCAGAAATAAAAAAGAACAAACTATTAATGCACATGACAAACTCAAGGAAGTATGACTAGGAAAAAAAAATGCCCAAAGATCACATAATTTAGAACTTATTTGTGTAACATTTTTAAATGTCAAGATTATAGAAATGGAGAATAGATTCATTCCTGCCCAGGGTCAGGCAAAGGAGGGGATGGTAGTGAGTGTGGCTATAAGAGGGCAACAGGAAGGATCCTTGTGCTGATGGAATTGTTCTATATCTTGATGGTATCACTTGTACCAACAGCATTGCAAGATGTTATTATTGGGGGATACTACGTAAGGGACACACAGAATTTTTTGTATTATTTCTTAGAAGCACGTGTGAATCTACAATGGTCTCAAAATTTAAAAATTAATTAAAAAACCCAAACAATTAGAGAAGAACATGGCATAGATTCAACTGCCTGAATTTTAATCTGGGCTCAACCTTTACCAGGGACAGAGTATAAAATTCCTACATGCTCCAGTTTTCTCATCTATAAAGTGGGAACAAAAAAAGCACCAACTTCATAGAGTTATTGTGAGGATTAAACGATATGATGTTTGTAAAGCACTGTCACTTAGCTAAACATACAGTAATTGCACAGTAAATGTTAGCTATTATTAGTAATAATCATATTATAATGGTAATAAAACAAAGGTGCACTATTAATCATTCCACTTCCTAAGCTACAGAAATCCTTTATCTGCTCCTTTGACTGAGTCATTTACCCAAATTTCAAACGCTATTCTAAAGCTATACAAGAAAATTATACCTTGTACATGATAAATAAAATGAAATTCACATAAATTTTCAAAGAAACAGACTTACTTAACAGTCGAAGTAAACGGTAGCGAATTAATGCCAACTGGAAAAATGTTGTTAATCCCAGATGACATCAGTGACCTTAGGTTCAAGGTAAAGCCACTGGTGGTTGTGGTAGTGGTGGTGGTAGTGGTGACAGTGGTGGTGGTTGTCGTTGATGTTGTAGCTGGAAAATAAAATGCACATTAGTAAGAAATAAGAGACTTATTTTATTTCGTCCTTGATCACTCAGGATAAAAGCTATAGAAACATTTTTTTTAATGTGAAATTAAACTCAAAGTTGTGTGGATTAGTACTCAACACTGTTGTAACATGAAGTGATATACAGCAGGCCAGACATCCGGATTAACCTTTCTGCTAAAAATTTAAAATCCTGGATATGTGTGTTGAAAAAGAAAATTTACAACTTAACCAGACCTATAATCATTAAAGAAACTGAATCAATCCTCAAAACTCTTCCCAAAAAAAAACCCTCCAGACCTAGATGACCTCACTGAAAAATTCTACTAAACTTCCAAGGAAAGAATAATTGCAATCTTATACAAACTCTCTGTACATCTATGTCTTTGCATACTTACATGAATGTACCTGTGTGATTAATTCCTAGAAATGAAATTGCTGGATCAAAGGGTCAGCATGCTATAAATTTTAATATATCTTGCCATATTGCCCAACCAAAAAGATTTTGCCAATTTACATTCTATCAGTAAGGGAGAGTTCCTGTTTCTCAACGTTATAGCCCATACGAGGCATATATCTTCACCAGACTAATAGGTGAAAGTCTCTTAAATTTTCATCTACAGCCCAGACCTCTCTCTTACATGTCTTCTTCCATTGTACCCCTACTAGAATACCTAGCCCTCTCTAGATGAAATCCTCACTATATTTCATGGCCTAACTCACATTCTTCCTTCCCTCATATTTGTCACCCACTTCTCTTCTACTCCATCATCATCCCTTGGTTTTCTGAACTTCCATAGCACTTTTGGTTTTTCCTACACACTGAGCACTTAAAGAGTAATTCTCAGAAAACTGCAGCTGGTGGGGACTGCAAATGTTTTCTTCTTTTTGGTTCTCTGTGTTTTCAAATGTTCTTGGTAATCAATAGATGCTGCTTCTGTAACAAGAAATTTGTTATAAAAATACATTATAACATGTACACAATTGTTTGTTTTACATTAGCCTTGCTTTCCCAATTAGCAATATTTTCAGGTTAATGGCCATACGAGGTAAATACATAAATCATGCTGCCTGCCAAAACAGGCACAGCCTATACTGAGGGAAACTGGCCTTCTCCATTCCTGCTCAGGGATCAAGCCCAGATACTCTTTCTTTATTCCAAGAATTCTGTCCTTTGCTCCTGGTTCACAGTTGATTGGGACAAGGGTGGGTATCCAAAGCATGGTATCCATCTCACATACTACTGGCAGCCTATACAAGTCTGGCACAGAAAGCTCTAGCCAAGCAGGGATAAAATAGGTCAGAATCTCATTTTTAAAAATTTAGAACTATGGAAAGAATCAGACTATAGGTAGAAATACAGAAATATTTCCAGAAATATGGTAAGAATCAGATTGTAAGCAGAAATTTGGAAATATTCCCAAAAGTGTAGAAAGAATCCAATCACAGGCAGGGGGGTTGAAAGAACCAACAGAGAATGGATATGAAGTAGAATTAAGGCTTCTGAGCAAGTCAAAATGAAGAATAAGCTAAGGGGCACCTGGGTGGCTCAGTTGGTTAAGTGTGTGCCTTCTGCCTTCAGCTCAGGTCATGATTTCAGGGTCCCGGGATCCAGTGGCTGCATCAGGTTTCCTGCTCACAGGGAGTCTGCTTCTCCCTGTCCCTCTGCCCCTCCTGTCCTCATGCTCCTGCTCACGCACGTACTCTCTCTCTCTATCAAATAAATAAATACGATCTTTAAAAAAAAGAATAAGCTAAAATAGTAAGGTAGAAAAAGAGGTAAGGAAACCAATGGGAAGTTACAAAAGAGAAGACTAAGTGAATAGAACCGAATTATGTTTATCCAATAGATTTAGGTCCCTATTCCTTCAGAATAACTCTTAAATTCCATTTCTTTAAAGTTCAGTGCGATGATATTACCTGTGTTACATTTCCAAAAGATTCCATTTCCCTTTTGGCCACAAGAATCCTTACAAGAATTCTCTGATTCTTTTTTTTTTTTTTGTAAGATTTTACTTATTTATTTGAGAGAGAGAGAGAGAGAGCATAAGCATGAGAGGGGGAAGGTTAGAGGGAGAAGCAGACCCCCAACTGAGGCAGGGACCTTGATGCAGGACTCAATCCCAGGACTCCAGGATCATGACCTGAGCTGAAGGCACTCAACCAACTGAGCCACCCAGGCCCCCAAATTCCCTAATTCTTTGAGTTAGCCTTTGTGAGGGTGGAATGAACACCACAGGGAAAGATCATATCCAGTCACAAAGGATCCCTGAGGTCACTTAATCACTCAAAACACTGGGAATATTATAGATTGGATTCCATGTGGCACTGTTTACAGTTCTATGTCATCAGTCTTCATCCAAGAATAAAGTCTTATCTGAAAAGAAACCCTCCAGAAATACTGAAACTTAATCACACTATGGAAGACCCCTCCTTTATTAATTCATTCAAAAACTGTGTAACTACTACATTCAAGATGGAAAACAGAAAAACAACTAAGAAAGAGTCCTTCTTAAAAAGCTTTTCTTCACCCAAGGGTTGTTTTCTTCTTTTTCTTTTTCTTTTTTTTTTTAAAGTAATCTGTATTTCCTAGCATGGACAGATGTGCAAAGATGACATATAAGAAAATAGCAGAATCTAGGATTATATGTGCGTGTATTTATAATGATCCCATTTTTGTAAAACAAATTCAGTGTATGTTTGTATGTGTTTGGAAAAAAAAGGCTGGAAAGATAAACACCAAATCATTCACTCTAGATACAGTGATATATGTATATATACATGTGTGCATGATTTTTATTAAAAAAAAAAAGCAAGCAACTACCATCACTACCAAAACATCTCCACAAAGATGATGAATAATACCTTCAGGAAATTAATAAATACCTGTCAACCTAAACACAAAAGAATCTTGAGTCATAAAAAAATGGTATGATTATTTTAACCTTTTTAAACAGTATTTATCTTTGTTCTTTATTTTTTACGGTATTTTAAAAAGGTGTAAATTAGCTCTGGCATAGAAGATAATACTCAAATAACAAAAGTATTTCAATTAATAACAAAAAAGCAATGGATTTGAGAATGAAAGATTCCATCCCAGTTTGATTTTGCGTTATGACTTTGATCTAAACTAAACACAGTCAACTCTACATTACATGCATAGTAAAAAGGAAGCACAGTTTTATAAAAAATACAAAATAACTGCACACCACATTTGCATTTAAATAAATCTCATTCTGATGGTCTTAAAGATTGTTATATAAAATAGTGAAAACATCCTTTAAAACATCCTACTACCCAATTTTCCTATCCAAACAAACATTTTCCACACAAAAGATGTAAGACTGGTAACAAGCAACCTTCTCTTAAAACTTGCTGATTATACTTAGGGCAGAGAATAATCCCAATTGACAATAAATCTGCAGACACAGACACTTGAAAGCTGCCCTACAAGGTTGATTTGTGAGGTGAAGAGTCTGAGCAAGAAAATATGCTTGGGGAGAAGGAAAGGTGACTAGGGGGAAAAAACCAACTCCAGGTTAAGGGTGTCAAGTTGAGATACGTCTGACAGGGAGATGGGTATATAAATTAATGGTGGATGGAATGGCCAGGAGGGATGGGTTAGTAGCAAAGGTACCAGTTTGCAGGAAGGAATCTGAGACCTAGCTGGGGAGGGGATGGGTTATGGCAGAGTCACCAAAGAGCCTGCCAATTCATACTTCAGTGACTCAACCCATGGCTGAAAGAATCAGCTTTGTTCAGCATTTTACAGGGAAAATTATGGGTTATGGTATTTGCAAATATGGTAACCTGTAAAGTCCTCAAGACACACTCTTTACAACTCTCATAGGTCGGCCAGCTGCCTAGTACACAGCAGAAACTCAGATAAGCATCACTCATGCAAAAGAATAAAAAAATAGATGGTGGACATCTCTGTTTAGGAATAATTATTTTAAAATTAGAAAAGAGTGACTTTTAATTTATACCAGGTTTGAGGAAAGGTTTATTCAGCCCTCTGTAAACTTTTAAAATAAAACAAATAAGACTTTCCCAGAATGGAGAATGACTTAAATGGTAGGTTTGAGTAGCAACTGACCCCTAACCACCCAGCTCACCATAAGCTACAAGGCTACAACTAGCCAAGTTCTCTTCAACCTACAACTTAAGTAGCTCCTAACTGGCAGAAACAAATTTAGGATGGGAACTCCTGTAATCAGCTTTAGAATACGGTCAACTTTAATACAGGTCAAAACTTAAATTATGTTTTAGGAAAAAAGAACTATCAATGCCAACATATTGGATCAATGTAAACACTATGATCAATACTAAAACTTCTTCAATTTAAAAGTTGAAAAGAATTTGATAGCAGTGTTGAGTATGGTCATCTCAAAGAAGCGGCATCATTGGTATCAAATGTCTCACTATACTTTGGCAGTCATCACTACTGGTGTACCTTTTGCATACTCTGATGAAATGATCACAACTTACTTAGTCCTAAAAGCTATGGAACACAACTTACTGCTTGTTATACAACGCATTTCCACTGAGCATCCAAACACATCACACACCCCAATAATTCTCAGATCTTACTAGAAGCAGTATGAGCTGCTCCACCTGTTCCAGGGACTTTTAATCCAAATCCCCAAGTTATGCCACCAAATGTTCCAGTCGAAGTTGTTGGAGCACCAACTGCAGAGAATAACATAATATTACCTATTACACTTTAACTTAAAAACAGTGAGCAATTTAGATATAGTCTCTTTCATCTGAAGAGTCCTTTAGAAACTTTTGGCTGAACTCCAAAAGCCTATAGTCAATCCATTTATAAGAAATATCCAGAAAAGGCAAATCTATGGAGACAGAAAATAGATTAGTAGCTGTCTGGAGCTGAAAGATCTTATTTGGAGGACAGAAATGTTCTAAAACTGGATTACAGTTTGAGTGGTAGTTATGCAATTCAGCCTATTAAAATCACTGAATTATACACTTAAAATAAGTTAATTTTATATGGAAGTTATACCTCATTAAAGCTAATTTTAAAAATACTATGGTCAAGATTTCTTTTCATTTGGTGAGCAAGGACATCAAAGACAGGAATGAAAACAAGCCTATCAAAGGTCAGAGGGCAAGTCTGATTGAAAGTGGAATGCATTAAACAATTATAACTTCCAACCTCAGACGTGGTCATATTCACGAAATCTGTTGTATTGGAGAAGGACATCGCTTACATATATCAAAAGGCTTCCAGAATCCCAGTCACATCTCAAAACTGGAAGTCTATTTGGTAGAAAATACAATTCAAGTGGTAACCAGCAATTCTAACTAATGTTTGCCTATTCCAACTTCACAAGAGGACAGGGACAACAGACCACTATTTTTCATCTTGAAATAGGCATGAGCAACTCCTGGCAAGTTTTATTTCTAGGAATGGTGACAACCTTGCTCTAATAGGCCTGTGGGGGAACCATATTACAGCTAGGGTTACAATAACAAAGTCTAATGATAAATGGCATGGCACTGTGAAGATATCTCAAAAGCAGAGTCAGTTATATGGACCTGTAAGAAAGAATTGCTCAACATTTGCTGTTATTGTACTAATGGAAGATACATAGCAAGGAAGTTGGGGTTACAAGATAATTAATATCCCACTTCTCAGCTCAAGGCATCCAGATGTTCCTCTTCAAGGAGAGAAGCCACAAGGCAACACACGGTGTTAATTAAAACCCCAAACTGGTCCTTTTGTCATCCATCACTTCTGAGAGGTAAAATGTAAGGACCACAACCTGGTCTATCTAGAAGAATACATGATAGCAAGGCTCCAACATTTAATTCCTATTTTATCTTACTCACATAGATAATAAGACTTCTTCCCTTCAGACATACTTGGCAAAACTCCCACTCTTCTTACTCCCATTAGCTTCAAGAAGTTGTTTCAAAATATTACAGCATTAATGAATTATATGCTTAAAATTATCACTTTAAGCGGGAATAATCATGTTAACATAAAATTCACAGCTAAAGCTATGACAATTAGGTTCTTAAGCAATGCTACTATTGATAGCAGCAGTTACAGATGGGTTCAAGCATAATGATAATTTATGAGATGCAAGAGACCCATAGCTTATATTGGCAAATTGAGTTAAGTGGCCTGATGCGAAATAAGGGTATTTTCTTTGCAACCAGTAACTTACAAGAGAGCCCAGTAGCAGCAGCGGAAGTAGAAGCGTTTGACATTGAAGTAAACAGCATGGTGCTTGAACAAGTAGTGGCGTCAGCAGTCGATGCTGAAGCTAAACCTAAAAATCAAAGTAATAAACAGAAAAATATGTCACCGAAGAACAGTTCTTTAAAAAATAAAATACCATTATAACAAGGTTCATTTATAGGAGAAACTAATAGAGCAAGGAAAATTAGATACTATGATATCTAATAAATAAAACATAATAAAAGCCTGATTTAGGGTGCCTAGATGGCTCAGTTGGTTGGGCCACTGCCTTCAGCTCAGGTCATGATCCCAGCACCCGGAGTCCCGGGATCAAGTCCCACACCGGGTTCCCAGCTCCACAGGGAGTCTGCTTCTCCCTCTGACCTTCTCCCCTCTCCTGCTCTCACTCACTCCCTCTCTCTCTCTCTCTCTCAAGTAAATAAACAAATTTATCTTAAAAAAGCCTGATTTTAAAAAAACAGTTTATCAGTACTGCATAGTATAGCCAGTCTTCTAGCACCATCATAACAAAGAAATTCTACTTTACTGAAAAAGTAAATGTAAAAGGGAGATCCACTTTTAGAACTGCAGCATAAGAAGTCCTAGGGACCTATTCCCCAGTGAAACACCATAATTGGTATAAAAAATAATAATACTGAAAACAATCTGAAATCTCAGGATATCGTCCAAAAGATATACAGCAAATAAAGAACATTTATTCAAGAAAATCTGCTAAGACTCAGTTATACCAGTTAGAGTCTAGTATATGAACCACAACCCACTCCCTTCATTCCCTTTATCCCCCTGTTCACCTTGAAGGAAGCCACACTCCAGGTGGGAGTGGCCATTAACAATGGCCCCAGCTCCCAACCAAGGGATATAGTATTTCATTGGGAAAGGCAAGCAGCCAGCAAATCACCTCCAACACATATTTCATGTGTTGAAATTCCTGGCAAGTAGAGCCAAGAATTGAGGGACTCCCTACCTTTAGTCAGGCCTCATTCATAGGGCAGAGGCTCTACACCAGGCCCCACAGGTTACCCCTACCCTGGCTTCCTTGTCCCAGCTCACTTACAAGGCTGAGATTCCATGCCTGAAGCGATAATCAAGAGGGTCAGAGGAAACTGGCCCTACACAACACCTACAGCACTGTTCAAAGGTTTTTGCCCAGGGGCACATAAAAACAGAGAGCTCCCAAACTACACCCGAAAGTCAGTACTTTCTGAAAAAGTAGTGTGAGCTGAAAAGGAGTGTGAGGAGATTCAAGCCAAAGGACTCTCAAAAAAATGGAGATTTTTGGTGCTAAACAATTAAGAGGAAGCAAGCAGGTTCATGAGAGTAACAGTTTAGGCTATAAGCCAGCTAGTTTACCAGGGGTAACTAGGGAAAGAGGAAGTTGAAGAGTCCTCCTCCTGAGATCAGAAGAATCAAGTACTCAAACATGCTACACCTTGCATGAATCTTGAAAATATTACCCTAAATGAAAGAAGCCAGACACAGAAGGCTACATATTGTATGATTCAATTTATATGAAATGTCCAGAATAGGCAAATCCACAGACCGAAAGTAGATTAGTGGATGCTAGGAGGTAGGAGGAAGGGGTAATAGGGAGTGATTGCTAATGGGTACCAGGTTTCTTCCAGGGGTGATGGAAATATTCTGGAGTTACATAGTGGTTATGATTGGACACTCTGTGAATATTTTTTTGAAAACACTGAATTGCACACTATAAAAGGGTGAATTTTATGATATGTGATTTATATCTCAATTATGCTATTATTAAAAAAAACAGGATCATCTCAAAAGTAGAAAAAGGATTTGAGAAAATGGAACAGAGCTTCATGATGAAAATGCTCAACAAACTAGGAAGAGAAGGGAATTACTTCAACATAAAAAAGAGCATTTACGAAAAACCCATAGCTAACATCATAGTTAATGGTGAAAGACTGCATACTTTACCACTATCATCAAGAACAAACCAAGGATGTCTGACTGCTCTTCCCAACAATACCTTAAAAGTTCTAACCAGAACAATTAGACAATAAAACAAGATAAATGGCATCTAGGTTGAAAAGAAGAAATAAACCTATTTCTAGTCACAGGTGACTTGATCATGAATGCAGAAAATCCTAAGGGAGCCACAAAAAAAAATCTATTAGAACATTAAAGAAGTTCAGCAAATTTGCAGGATTCAAGATCAACACAGAAAAATGAATTACAATTCTATATGCTAGCAATGAACAATCCACAAATGAAATTGAGAACATCATTCCACTAATAATTTCTCAAAAAAATACTTAGGAGCAAATCTAACAAAAGAAGTGCAAGACTTATAACCAGGAAAATACAAAACATCACTGCAAGAAATTAAAGACAGACATCCTAAATAAATGGAAAGATCTCATTTTTGTGGATCAGAAGATTTAGTATTGTTAAGATGGTATAGTAGGCAGAAAAATGGTCCCCAAAGATAGCTGCCTCCTAATACCCAGAGCCTGCAAACGTATTACCTTACTTGACAAAAAGGCCTTTACAGTTGTGATTAAGGTTCAGCACCTTGAGATAGGGAGATTATCCTGGATTATTCAGGTAAGCAAAATCTAATGATATAAATCCTTAAAAGTAGAGATTCTTTCCAGGCTGTGACCAGAGGGAGAGGTGACTACAAAAGAATGGTCAGAAAGATGCCAAGGTGCTGATACGAATGGCCATCTAACACATGAAAACAAACTCAATGTCATTAGTCATTAGGGAATTGAAAATCAAAACCACAATGAGAGTCTACTTCATACTGACTAAGATGGCTATAATCAAAAAGCCAGATAATATCAAGCGTTGGTGAGGATGTGGAGAAACTGGGAACCTCTATCAATGCAGATGAGCACGTTAAGGTAGTACAGCCACTTTGGAAAACTGTCTGGCACTTCCTCAATGTGTTAAACATAGAGTTACCATATAACCCGGTAATGCTACTCCTAGGTATCTACACAAGAGAAATGAAAACATGTATCTGCACAACATGTGTGTGAATGTTCACAGTATCATTACTTACAACAGACAAAAGGTAGAAACGACCCAAATGAACATGGACTGATGAATGGCTAAATAAAATGTGGTATATCCACAAAATGGAATTTTATTTGGCCATAAAAAGGAAAAGCAGCACTGTTATATGCTAAAACATGGATGAGTCCTTAAAAACATTATGTGGAGTGAGAGAAATTAATCACAAAAGAGTACATAGTTTATGACTCCTTTTACATAACACGTCCAGAATAGGGGACTCTAGAGCCAGAAAGCAGATTAGTGGTTGTCAGGAATTGAGGCAGGGAGGAACGGACAGTGACTGCTAATGGTTATAGAGTTTCCTTTGAGGGGAATGAAAATAGTCTAAAATTGACTGCAGTAATGATACACAACTCGGTGAATATACCAAAATCCAATTAACTGTACATTTTAAATGTACAAATTATATGGTATATGAATTACATAATATTTTATGAAAAATAATACTCATAATAATATTTTATGGAAAAATAATAAATAGAAGTCTGAAATAAAGCTTCAGAAAACAGACTACCTGCCTCTTGCTTTAAAATTTCAAATAAAAAGTATAAAAAAATAAAGCTAGAGAAATGAAGTACATAAAGACACAAATGAGATTCACTGGTTAACTAAAAACAAAGTTTATCTTTTCATCCTCATTGTAGATCATTGTGATCTACATGGCACATGGTAATAAGTTCTCAAAGTTTCTGCTTAATTGAACCACTTTTTCCAGACTCCAATACATAATGACATTCTATTTCCTCTTCAAACGGAAAAAGTACTTAGTAAGTAACTGCACTTGAATCTGTTGCTGCCTACATCCAACTGCTGAACAACTCTTGGCAGTATATAATGTAAGACTCTGCTATCCAAAAGATCTAAGGCCACTGAGGGTGAAGGGTACAAAGGTGCTGGGAAGGAAGGGGGAACATTACCACATACCTTCAACTATCTAAAATGTGTATTGTCGAATATCCCCATGTTTCATCTAGAAAAAGCACCACATGTAGTATACTTTTAAAGAGATGATCAGTTTTATAGCAAAGGTGTTTTCATATTTGTAATTCATTACTAACAAGTGAGCCTATATTTTTACTATGGGTTTAATGGCTACTTTAATTTCCTCATCCAAAACTGCCTATTTATGTCATCTGCTGATTTTCTCACTAGAGTATTATCTTATTATTGAAGTGTATATCAAGGCTATTTAGCTAAATGTGGTGGGGTGCCTGGGTGGCTCAATGTGTTGAGCGACTGACTCTCGATTTCAGCTCAGGTCATGATCTCAGGGTTATAAGATCGAGCCCTAACCCTCTGCCCCTACCCCTCTCTAAAAAAAAATGTTGCAAAAATTTCTCAGCCCCAGTTTAACATTTGTTTTTGGTTTTTTTTTTATTTTGGTTTTCTTTTTTTATGTAGTCAAATCTTTCCATCATTTTTTTCCTTTATGGTTTATGTCTCCATGATATGTTTCAAAAGGCTTCCCCACTTAAACATTAAAAAAGGTGTTCAACCTCATTTTTAGGAGAAAAATCACAAATTATAACTATATTGAGAATGAGTTCACCAAACAGATGGGAGAAATAAAAAACTAGTAACACACTCTGTTAAGGACACTGTGAACAGACAAGCAGCCTCTGAGGGTCCTAACAGGAGTGTAAATCGGGTAGAGCCCCTCTGGAAAACAAGTGGCCAATGTTTGAAAAATTCCAAATGAACCTTTCTTTTGGACCAATAATATTTCTTCTCACAATTTATCCACAAAGATCTACCTGTACACCTGTAAAATGACATGTAAAATAAGAGCCATGACATCACTGTTGGTACTAACAAATGAGGAAACAACCTAAATGCCCACCAGCAAGGGACTGAATAAATAAATTCTAGCACATCTAGACCATGGAATTCTATGATACTACAAAAAAATACTGAGGGAGCAGTCTATATACCGACTGATATGAAAAGATCTATCTCCAAAATAT